ACTGTCTGCCTTGCCATATGCTGCCGCTGCTTTTCTCTGTGTGAATGCTTCTATTATGTCATGTTGACTGGAGTAGTCATTCAAAGAGGTTGGTTTAGCAACTTGTGTCAATGTGTGGATAAAATGCACAGGCTGACCGAGAGGAAAAGAAGGCAGTTGCACTGATTTCATTTCAGTCATAGGTTGTAGCACAGTGGGTTTTTTAGCCTGTTTTTACTAGCCGTTTCATATTTTTTTCAGGTCGCTGACCGTTGACTTAAACGTCGATCCGGCACTATTTGAATCGGTCGTAAAACAGACTTCCTACGAAGTACCACAGCCTCAGCTGCACAAGTGCTTTCGACGTGAGGTCGGTTGGCCTCACTTCCGGCAAGTGTTCATGATTTCGTCATTACTGAGAGACGGTACCGAAGACCTGAAAAATTACTTGCTTCGAGTCGCCCCTCCCGGTAAATGGAAGTATCATAGCTCGGTGGTAACCGACGAAGACACCTCCCAGCTGATTGCAGACGCGGTTCGGTCAAAGGTGCTGGACAATCTTTCAGAAGAGGTGCCTTATGGAATAACCTGCAAGGTATGCACAATTTATTTTATTGCATTGCATCTTCTAGCCAGAATGAGATTACGGTGTTTAACGCATTTTTTTAAAAATAAATCAGCTCTTTCTTTCTGATAGAGACCCCTTGGACACTTGCTAAAATAGCGGAAACTACTCGGCCTAATTTGGTTTGTGTTTGAACACATTTATGTTCGCCCAACATAATGATTCTGCATTGTAGTGTAAGCTCACTGCAGGTACTCAATTACGATGGAGCCGTGGCCTGCCCAGAAAGTCACAGGTACTTAAAGCCTACGGACGATGCGAATGCTCATTGATGGTTCAATCAAGGGCATGACGTTTTTTCTGGCTGTATCGAAAATTGCCACTGTTGGCGGTCATTGAAGAATATCGGGGTCATTCCTAATCATCAGTTTCACTTGGTTTTTGATCATTTCATAATCAGCTATTTTAAATCTGTTCAGCTTATCCAGTTTTGGCCCTCCCGAATCAGTGCGGCTGTATTTGCTTTGCTTCTGTTCATTATCTACTTC